ACCATACATCTCGTCTTTCCCTATTACATTAATATATAAAACTGTTGATGCCGAGTGAGAATTCAAGGTACCGAATCTGTCGTGCGAGTTAAATAAGAACCAATAGAAAGCTCTACAAAGGAAATTTTGTTAAAGGAGGCTGTATAAGCATTAGAATAGCACATGCCATGCTAAAAAAAAAAAATACAAATTCTTGTTAGGTAGGCAAGGATGACACTGCTGTGCTGTTTCTGATGTGTCGCAAAAAAAAATCAGTGCCGTACAGTGTTCCTTATGGAAGTACAAACTGTCGAATTCAAAGCCCAGAAGTTTTAATCAAGAATGTTTCTCAATACAAATGTATTTAGAGATCTGAGCCACTGACTCATACATGACTATGTGGCGAACATTCATTTTCATGTGCATTATAGTTTACAAGGTCTAGTCTGCATTGATTTATTGCATTCATGCTGAAACTGGGAGGGGTTCTTTGGGTATGAATAAAGATATAAACATTTCTTGAAATCAAAACATTTGAGAACGGACAAAAGGAAGGATCTGAGAACCTGATCTTAGATTCTCTTTTCTTTTTCTTATCTCTAATTTTCACTTTATTTCACCTGATGCATTTAGTTTTTTTAGCGCAGCTCTTAGCACCCGTTTCCGCGCTTTGCGGCGTCGCTGGCGGCGTAACCGCCCAACTAAACTTGGCAGGAAATTGAATTAATGTTGCGGTCATGTGACGTTAATATGTCCGCTAAGTGTAGCTGAGAAACTGAATGTTTTATGGATTACATGACACGGTCGTGCGACGTCATTTTCCCCGCTACTTTTAGCAGGAAAACTGCATTTGTGTTGAGGTCATGTGACATCGATTTCCACGCTAAATTTAGTGGAAAACTTAACCCGCTAAATTTAGTGGGCAAATTTTCCCGCTAAATTCAGGGAAATTTCCTGCTAAATGGGAGGGAGCAGAAGAGTAGGAGGGTTAGGGGGTGGGGGGTCATACCCTCCCATCCTCCTGTTCAAGATCTGTGCTCTAATTTCACATTACAGAGAATTGTAAACGTCTCATATTTCATCTCATGTTTATTCAACTTTTATATTGCAGGTGCGCTTGCAGCACAAATCTGGGTTGTGCTGATCCTCTACGCACAAGTTAGGAACTCCTGAGTGGCAAGAGTGGGAGTTTGGCCTGACAGCTCAAGGGACACCATTGTTCAGTATTGAATTTTTAATTATCTTCTTTTGAGCAAAGTTAAGCTTTGCTGCATGCAGGTCTTCTAAAAATAAATACCTGCAACCAATTTTACCACGTCACGACATTTTGCCTCTGCTCTTAGTGCTCCTGGTGAGCCTCGGATAAGAGCTTTCTGGTGTGCAAACATCATGCTTGTTTGAAACCAGTCACTGATGTAGAGACTCGCTGACATCCAGCATTCCAATGATACGCTGGATGTCCACAAGTCTTTCTTGAACAATGCAAGCGGGAAAGGAACCATACAATCGTATCGTATTCGGGGACATTCTAGAGAGTGTTTATTTCTATGTTTTTCAGATATTTTTTTAAAAGCCGTAAAAGCTACATTTACGCGGTCTGTGCACGTGAGTTGCGTGTCTAAGGGGGAACAGGACCTTGGGCGCAGAGATGAGCTCTGATAAGGAACTGAAACCTAGAAACTCGTGCAAATAAAGCGTTTTTACAGAACGCGTAAAAGGCTACCCCTGCATTATATCCTTCTAAAAAGAGTTGATTTTGTGGTTTTCAATGACTCGGCAAGTTTCTAATTGAAACCATATTTTCATTTTGACTAATTAAAAAGTTGATTAACAAATTGTATTTAATTATCTGACTGATCGTTACGATTAGGTCCCTACACTACGTACGCCTGGCCGTATAACTCGCCTGGACAAACCGCATTGATTTAGCTTTCACGACCTTTCTAAACATATATGTAAAGCTTAAAACTAAATCGCCCTGTACAACAGTGAAAAGGCGAAACCAGCATGTTGGAGCCATATGGCTCCACCGTGCTGGTATCGCCTTTTGGTTGGTATAGGTTGTCCCATATTACGTTATGCATGTATGGTTCCACATGTTTCCGCCATATTCCACTACGCTGGTATAGGATGTCCCATAATACGACACGCTTGTATGGTTCCGCCTACCTGTATCATTCCGCTCAAATCCACTATACTGGATCCGCCAATTCGCTTGTATAGGATGTCCCATATTACGGTTACGCATGTATGAGCCTTTTCCGACATCTTTCCATCATCGAAATTTTCCAACAGGGTATAGATACATATATCAATATTTTGGTGTTATGGCAACTTGAAGAAATGTAGGAGCGCTCCAAAAGATAAGCTATTCCATGATTTTCAATTTGTAGTAAAATATGCGATGGAAAAGGCTTGATTCAGTTGAGTCAGCGCCACATCGGTAAGTACGCTCCCTCGTAGACATCATTAGGATTGAACGCAGTACCGAGCTGGTGTTGCAAAGCCAGTTACATAAAGTTTTGCCCCCATCAGTGATTTCAAAATATTAAGGTTGTGGCTCGAGTATAATGCCTACGCTCATGAGAGAGGCCTAACTCAAGCTTTGTTAGAAATAAATAAAGCATTCTCTTCATTGCCAACCGAAGCTATGGATATTGTGACCGTTAGCGACATATCATCACCGCCAGTTCACGTAGGCACCTCTTCTGGAGTCATGATTGTAGTAAAGAATTCATTCATTTTAGCCCCTTATTTCTGCAGCATTTTTTCACATAAAGAAATGTTAATGCGATTTCCGTACGTTATGAACAACAATACATTTTCTAAGTCATGATTCCTCAAAGTTAAAAAAAAATAGTTTCATGGCTGTAATACAACTCCTTAGGCAGGTCATAGAACAGATGCAGTATAATCTCCATCTGACAGATAAGCTCGTGTGAATGTTTCCGCAATTTTAAAATTGTGTCGTCGGAACCAATCTGCCGATCAATGTCGCTGTCATTGTTTTTGGAACAGCGCCGAAAAAATCCCAGAATAAATATAAGATTGAGTCTTCCGTGTCTTTTACAAGATACATATAATTTTTAATTACGGTAAAATTACACATGGTTTTGGTGTTTAACTTTAGGGGCTACGACAAGACTATCATTATGTGAATTCCGGAATAAATCATTACGGCATATAAGCCAACAGAACGTCAATGAGATTTAGTAAACTCCATAGGGGATTACCAAAAACAAAAGCGGACATAACTAATTTCTTAACACCAGATGTATATTTGTTTAAATACACTTGCCGTATTTTCTTAAATAAAATACACCAACTCATGTTTACAAACAAACCGGAGCGCCCGGAGTGCCCCTAGCGGACGCCACCGGCGCCACGCATGCGCGATGGGGGTGTGGGCAAGAAGCTCGCCGTCGCCCATAAACAAACCATTGAAAAGCGATGTTGTCGGCGTCGGAGTGAGTCCCCGCGCTCTTTTTCGCGTTGGAATTGTTGATTCTACGTCCTACTAACGATGTCTGACTACTTGAGCGGCATCAGCGAAATTAACGAGGCTCGTTACACCGCAAAACTTCGCGTGAATAATCTGACATGCGGCGATTCATTCCGCGTGGACGCCGCAGAATGTACGCTAAAGCCTGATTCACATGATGAGATTTCGCTCGCAATTTTCAGTAGCGACTTAGCTCGGACTACAAAAGCGTGAACCGCAGCTGAGATGGTCGACGTCGATACTAAAATCGCAAGCCGAATCTAACCAAGTGAATCAGGCATAACAAGTCGGCGATGGCCACTGGTAACAATGATCAACATCTCCTTGTGTCTACTGTCTACGTCGAACCTGCTTACCAACCTTCAAACTTAAGTCTTTTGAGGCCTGCACTTTCTTCTTATCGCAAGTACCGGGCCCACGTTTGGTCTACGGGCCGGTGTCCTCTAAAAGAGCAGACGACAAGCAGAAACGTTTGAAAGAGCAGACGACAGTTCGAACGATCAGGCGACCGTTTGAACTTGAAGACGCACTGAACGTAGTCCGCAGGTTGTTTGTACAACTTGACGGTTTTCCGGCGTTCATTTTGGAACAAAACAAATAAATCTGATGGCCAGAAGTATCCGAGAATTCAACCCAAAATTCTTCCCGCCCAAGCAATCGCGTGGTCCGACGGCGTCTGGTTTTCCCTTTTCACGGCACATATCCACGTTCTCGAACGAACCGAGCGCATGAAAATTGACCTTAAAACCTTTCTCGACCCTTTTGGTACAGCCCCAGTCGCAGCATTTTGACAAGAAGGCAAGTTTTTTATCTGGTTCTTTCAAAACAACGCAGGAATCCACGTCTCAGATGGGCACTTCCGCCCACAGCCCCGGACCGGAAGTGCGTCCGACGCGCCACCACCGCGCCGTGAGGTAACAGAGATGAGTTCGTGTATAGGATAATGGCGTAAAATTAATATAATTTTTGTAATGCGAAGCGTTTATAGATGAGCATTCGTGTTTTCATGGTTTATTTTTCTGAACATAATGTACGCTTTTTGGGGGATTGTTTTAGAGCGCAGCTCTTAGGGGCCCGTTTCCAGCCTGAGCGGCGTCGCCGTTGGCGTCGGCGTCGCCGTCGCCGTCGGCGTCGGCGTCGGCGTAACCGCGCCCCTCCCCCTCCTCCTCCTCCCCCTCCTCCTCCCCTCCTCCTCCTCTTCCTCCCCCTCCTTCTCCTCCTCCCCTCATTGTGTAGTATGGTCCGGGTGGGTCACGTGACCTCGGCGGGAGGGGGTCACATGACCCGTTTCCAGCCTCTGCGGCGTCGGCGTCGCCCCTCGTCCTCCTCCCCCTCCACTCCACTGATTGTATGCAGGTGCTCGACCTGCATACAATCAGTGCACAAGGGTCATATTCCTCATCTTTCCTCAAGTAACGGTTATGTATATCCCCCGAAGCCAGCCCACCTCCCACAATTGAACGCGGTGAGTGAGAGACTCATATCTCCACGAATTCCTTTCATGCAACTGCGACGGCTGATGCACGGTGCAGGTCAACACGGCATTAAGGGACCAGTAGTGAACGTCTGTGTTGATGTGGACGACATGGTGACAATGTTGCCTCGTGCCATCGAACAAGACCGAGCCCTCAATGTACATTTGAAGCGGCGCATGCTTGCGAAGACGACCTACCTGGCAGGGGCAGTAAAAAAATGTGATCTGCTGCCGTGGCTTAAGCTGCTGTGTGATAGCACGCTGTACAAGCATTATAATATAAAGTGCGATTTTGCCCGTTTGGGGGATATCGTAGAAGTGGACGAACACGACGACATCGAGTTGCTCCCGCAATGCTCAGACCTCAACGATCCGATCCAAGTGGCTACAGCCATGACTCTGGCTCAGCACACTCTCGTATGGGACGAAGACAAGTTTCTAGCGATTGCGCCAGGTGAGGGAAAAAGGCCCGTGAGCATACTTTATGACGAACACTCAGAGGAGCTTTCGTTCCCACAGATCTATCTCGGTGAGCCGCGCCGAGTAGATGCCAGCGCAAAACCGACAGTCTTCACACACGCCATGAGTGAGATCCGCAGATCAGACCGTCGAGGGGCCACCCCGCAGCACGTACTGTACATGGCCATGAAAGTGTTTAGGCACCGAGTAGCCGGTGACATGTGTGTGGCCTTCCGTAACATAAAGGCACTGGAAACACTAACGAAGCAACAGTTGCTCGACAAGGATTTTGTGCAGCAAGCGGTCGAGCACGACATGGCTTTCATGCATGGTATTCCCAACACCGTGCAGTACTGGACAAAACGCAAGAAAGACCTCTTTGCTATGATACGGCAGTTAGGTAAGCCGACCGCGTTCCTCACTCTTTCTGCCTCGAAAATGCACTGGCCCGACCTTTTGCAGTTGCTTCAACGCCTTCGGTTGAAGCCCGGCGAGATCGAAGTACCACTGGAGCAAATGAACAGCATTTATCGAGCACAGCTAGTAAATGACGATCCCGTGTTCTGTGCCATATATTCCGACCGATTGGTGCGTGTCATTCTCAACATTCTCCGCAACACCCGTGTATCGCCTTTTAGGCCGTACATACCCTATTGGAAAAACGTGCAAGAAACAAACCTGCTGCTTGTACAGTTCTGGTATGACACCACCATAATTCCTTTGTATTATGCATGCAGCTAGTTTGGTTTGGCGTTCTGCATAACTGGAGATACCGGCACCGCTATGGCTCCGGGTCTGTCTATACTGGCAGCCACTTTGCTTGCCGATATGATTCGGTGTGGCTGGTATGATTTTGCGTCCGATGACGTAGCGACTGCCGTCTTTCCACCAAAACGCTTATACCGCAGGACCACCGGTATAACCAAATCATACATGCAGAAAGACGACCGCCATCTTCCAACAAAAACGTCCATCGTTCACCACCGCTATCGTTACATACACCATACATGTCGAAAAAGAACATAAGCCACGTTTACACGAATGCGACTTAGTCGCATTGAATCCAGTTGCCGCATTCAATATGCGGTCATGTAAACAGCATAATGCGCAAAGCGCATCGCATTTTGGAACGGGGAGGATTATCGGAAGGCGCTCGCTGCGGGAGCGAGTGAACAGCTGAGAACATGGCGGCGGCCAACCTCGTCGGCGGCGCGGAGAGCGGTCCCGCAATTTTTTTCCCGAGAACGCAAGCTTTTATTGCGATCATGAGTAAGCGGAATATAGCGGAGCTGCTCGGTGAGGGCGGCCCCGTCCAAACCTTTGCGAAGTACGACTTGCGCGTCCGAAGGGGTCACAAAGGCTTCGGTGCAAGCACGAATGACACCGAGAGCTCCAAGCACTGTAGAGCACTGCATGGTAGCGCAGAACGAGCAGCTCCTACCTCGGTGCGGTTCCTGGCTCCGCAAGAGCCTCTCGGACTCGGGGTCCGGTTGGTCCGGTCGCGATCGGCGAGGTCTAGAGCGGCGAAACGCGGAGGCTTCCTCAAAGCGTGCACACACACGTCGCCTCTCGTTCAGAGTGAACCGGCGGCCCGGCCTGGAGTCCTAAACGCCTTCCGTCTCCCAACTTCTTCCACAGCACCGAAGACAGCGGGCACGATCTTTACGTTCACTGAATGCGTCGAAAGGCCTCCACGTGCGATGCACCGGAAAACGTGGTGCGGCTGGTGCCGGAACGGAACTGCATAACTTCGAGCTTTGAGTCAACGTGCACGGCAACAAACCGATCGTGACACCAAGCCGCGGATACCGCATCGCCGGTCGACAGCGGCAAACGGCCCGTTGCTCGTATCGTGGGCCGTGACTCGTACTCGGCCAACTTGGCGTCTTTTCGTGGCCCCTCGCGTCGTCGCAACCAGCCACAAACCCGACAAACCCACCAGCCCGAAACCGTAGCGACCGTAGCCTGCGTTGGAGAAAAGCGAAACCGAAACTTAAAGCTTCCGCCCAGTGGCTTTCGCTGCCGCGGCTTGTCTAACTTCGCGGCTTCCACTTCCGGTCGTCGCGGAGATGGCGAAGATAGAGCGGTGTGGGGGGTCGTTGGCTCGTTTACGGCAGAGGTTTACGGTTACGGGACAGATGTTTTGCGGTCCATTTCTACTGCGTCTCTGGCTCTCAACTGGACGGCGCCTCTCATAGTTCAACCAGGCGTGGTCAGCCTGCGTCAGGCCGGCTCGACTCGTCCGATCGCCGGACCGCAGGCGACTTCCAAGTACGGCCCTTAGGCCTAGGATCCGAAGGCCTAGGATCCGTGAAGCGGTAAGCGAATCTCGTCCCGTTTTCGTTCTACTTTTAAATTACGTTAGGTGCGCTACAGTATAAGCATGCGTGCCAAGTGTTCGTGACAATTTTGAACTAGAATAATTGTGCTTCATTGCGGTCATTTGCCGAAAATGTAAATCGAGCAATGAACGAGGAGCCATGCTTGAAAACGGTGTATGTACGATGTTAACTTCTACCTGTGCGGCTTTAAAGAAAGTCAATACTGGTTACGGTTGGATGCGAGGCTGGTCCCAATGCAATGGTAAGCACTTAGAGTGCCTTTCTGAACGGCATGTTAGCAATATAGCGATCAAAGAGACGAGCGACGGCGAGAAGCTACGAGAGCCGGCGCCGAGCGCCGAAGATTTCTCACTCTCGCTGCTTGCGCCGCTCGGTTCTTGGGCTTCTTGAAAACGTCGCTCATCGCCTTGGTCGCTCGCACCAATCGCTTTCATAATGTGTGTCTCGTCGCGCGGCTGACCACCGTGTTTATTCGAATATAAGTCGACCTTTTTTTTTTTTTTTTTCTTCTTCTCGGATATTGTGACTAAAGAATTTCGACACCTACATTCGCGACCAAATTTTGCGACCCTACCGGAGGCATGAAGCTATCGAGTCACCGAGCCGGCGTTGCCGTAGGGCCGCGCCGCTTTTTGTTTCGAAAAGCTTTTGGTTGCCGAAATGGCTCGCCGTCCGCGGTGGCCAGTGCCGCTGTCGCGCGCACCGCTCGGGCGTCGGATTTCGACATCGCGCCTCTAGCGTTCCCCTTGCTGGGCAACGGGGAAGGAGAGGAACGCGATGCGCCATGCACTTTACCCTCCATCCTCGCAAACGCGCAAAAAAAAAAAGAAAAAAAAAAGTTATTTTTGTTAGTTGCTTGAGGCGGCTCGGCTCGCGTGTTGCTCATGGCGACACGGCGGCTTTGCTTGCGTCTTTGTAGTTTGTCTTCCGTCGCTTGGCACCTTTTTTCTTTTCTTGTCGTCATTTTCCAACGGTGTCAGGGAAGTATTGCTGCGAATTTGCGAGGATGTCTACCCAGCTGACGAAGCTTCGGACGATGATAACATGTCCAGAAGTTCTGACGGTGATGAAGAGTTTGGCATCGCCCCGTGATTTAGCTGAGAGTGATGTAAATAAAGGTTTTTTTCTTTCTTTTGCCCAAAATTTCCCCTGTTCTTAAAAAAAAAAAAAAAAAAAGATCGACCTATATTTGAATTTTTTTCTTTTTTTTTTTTTTTGTTCTTGGTGGATTTAATAAATAGGGTTCGACCTATTTTCGAGTAAATACGGTAACTTTAATTTTTATTTCGAGTTACGTCGGACGTAACGTTAGACACTCCGTTACACTTAAGGAAAATAGGGGCTGTTGGTTCATCATATAAACCAACCATTTGTGTTTAATTAAAATGCATCACTGACCTCAAAAAAAAAATACTGCTATCCTAGAGTTTATGCTATAGGAATGTAGCGCTTCAGATAAATTTGTTAATTTTTACTTTTAGTCCCTGCCCCCTCCAGATACAACATCTGGCCTAAAGCAGTGTTCCGGATCTCCTTCCAAGACCTCAGGCGGGTCGTCATTCAATCCAAGAGTCGGCGGCGTCTCATGGGCGTGTTGCTGGTGCTTACTGGATGGTGCTACCGAGGGAAAAGTGGTCATGCTTGGGAAAGGCAAGTATGGCCGCCGTTAGTGTACATATTGTCTTTACCTTTGCTCGAATCCACTTTTAAGAAATGCACAGTTCGCATGTGTGCATCTCTCAATGTTTCCACAGTCGGCTGTTTTTTTTGTTTTTTTTTTTGCGTGCTCCAACTCTGTCAGCGCTAGTTTCTCTAGATCATGCAAACGGGATGCAACACTAAACCACATATGCTCTCGCAACAAACAGTGCTGTGCAGAAGCACAGTGGAATTTACTCTAGCTTTATAATGCAGCACAAAATAGTTGACTCCAAGTATAGCTACTTTTGTGACTCCGTTTAACCAAAAGCTCTGCCGAAACAAACTTGCCGCCTTATAGTTAGTGCAAAAGAACCTCGCGTGCCTAACCTGGAGAAGGGCATTTTTTTTCATAGGTCAATTTTTTCTTAAACCAATACCTTCAGCCTCCTTGAAATGTTAACATCATGTGACACACGGAAGAAAAGTAAACTCTTTAATGTTAGCGAACCTTTAATTTTCGCGGCCTTTAATTTTGCAGAATTCAGTGGCTGCGATTATGTCCTCTGTGACCGATTCGATAAGAAATAGGGGCCACGAAGATAAGGGGGTTTTACTGTACATCGGAGGAAAGAGGAAGTCACTTTTGTTTGTATGCAAGAGTAAAACCAATAACAATCATGGTGTCGACACTTTGTGAGCCTATCTGTGTCTATTGAATGATATCAATTTTGTTTTAGTTCGTTAAAAATTGTTGCCTGTACACTGTGGGATGTCGTCTTCAACACGAGCAGTGGTTTTCCCTGAAGCAGGCAGCATGGACGCGTGCCGCAGCGCAACATAGTTCATTTGCAGGTGGTACCGCAGGTTGAAGGATGGTTGGCACAATATGGGGGAATCACAATTCAATGTTCTACCTCGGGCGTAGACAAGATTTGCTCATTCTAAATCATTTTGTCTAAAAATCGGGGATTTGCGATGAATGTACCCGCATGGTTGGAAGGGCCAGGCAAGCCTTGTGAGCGCTTCGTTTTCTAGCGTCTCAGTCCTGAACCTACTCACGCACCACATGTGTAGATGTTCCAATACATGGGACCACTTATTTGGAAAATGGTGAATGGCAACTGTTATCTTTATCAGACTTCTGTGTTATGGTCAAAGTTGGACTGCATATTTGCAATACTTTTTCTCACTTCAAAATATGTCATACTAAAATATGTAGAATAGCCGATGACAAAAAGAGAATGGCTGGGCGTCCTCCAGCACGTGCTTGTGCTCTTCACCCCACTTTGGACAGATGTGCTCGCTCCAGGCTCATGAGGCGCTGAAACGTCATCGAAGGTAGCAGACGGGCTGGTGGTGGAACAACGGAGACTTCTCCCTGCCTTCCTCATGCTGTCAGTGAGCGTGTACCTCTATACTCTAACTTAGCTTAACCTGCACAGAGCTGAGGAGAATAGGCTTGGCGAGTGCCTTTACTGCATATGCATTTGTACAGCTGAGGTACTTTCTGAATCAAGAACATTGTGTATCTTACCTTCAAAAACACATCATTTTGGGGGTGCAACAGGAATTGTAAGGCATATCTTTGTATTGTCCTATTACGCA